GGAGGGGCTTCTCCATTCACCTCAGGGTTTGGGGAGTGGACTCAGATGTCAGATTTGTAAACTGCACCTCACACACTAAACCATCTCATCTGCCCTAATCCTGGTTTGTGTGTGTGTGTGTGTGTTGATGTGAACTGGCTCTCATGTAGCCCAGGGAGTCCCCATGTTCTCCAGGGACCAAGTGCTGTGACTGCAGGTGTGCTCCACTGTGATTCTGTGGATCAAACCTAGTCCAGGGGCAGCCAAGCACGCACTCTAGCAATAGGACTACATTTCCAGCCTTTAAATTCTCTAAGTGACCATCTCAATTGCTGAGAAGAACATAAGTTACTATGAGGCTGGAGCCTTCTGGAAAGGAACATAGACACACAATAGTCCCCTCCTTTAGAGTCAACCCACATGATCTGTTTGTCCTGCACAGAACAACATCTCATGGAGGCCCCCTGTGCCAGAGACTTTAGAAGACAGCACCCAGCCCACTTTAACATGCAGGCTGTGGTCCTGGCCATTGTCCACTCTCGCTCCTTGAGGGCCTTTCAACTGCAGTGGCCCTTTGGCCAATGTCCACTCTCACTGTTGAGCATGACTCCCATCATTCTCTAAGAAACCTGCCAGTCTTCCACATGACAGGATGTCTCTTACTGAATCCATCTGGCAGACTACAAGGGACTAGGGTGCTGGACAGAGGAGGGGTCAGAATGAGATCCCAGAGCCTGCACTTCTGACTGGTTCAAATGGAGTCTTTCCTTTGAAGGCCAGAGCAGGTTCAGATGAGCAGAGAGAAAGGAGAGGGGTGTGGCCCTTCCTCCTTTGGGTCTGTGCTGGGAACTACACAGGGATTAGCTCACCCACACCTGTAACCTCTTTTGTAGTGGGCAGAATGTAGGCAAGCAGGCTAAGGGTAAGAGAGGTGCAGCTCCTTGTCTGATGCAGGAGGAACTAAGGACACACAGTTGTGGCTCTGAGTGTCCCCATCACTCCAGAGACTTCTGAGAGGAAGCAAACAGTGAAAATGGCAGTGCTTACCTCATTGGGAGAGTTGTCACGTGACCTGGGAAAGCAAGAGAAGAGTCACCAGATCATGGAAGTGCAAAGCTCATCTGAGACTTGTGATTTGTAGCCAAAGGAGGCGTCATGAAGTAGTAGTAGATGTGCGGTGGGGGTGGAAGGGGTTCATGCCCAAGTCCAGTTAGAGGTTTTTCATCCTACAGAGTCTGTTTCAGAGACCTAGCTTATTAGGATCAGAGGAGAAGTAACAAGGACAGAGACCTGGATTATTCAGTTTAGGAGTTCTCCAAGTTCACAATGCCTTGATTATCCTTTCTTCAGTGGTATTTGTGACTGACATGTTCCTATGACAAGGAGGAGCACAGTGGTCCTTGGGACCCAGACTAACATAGTAGAGAGTCTTCCTAAGGGATAATGAATGCCGACGAACTTCACACATGCCAGGGAAGGCATTAGGTTCAGGAACTTGCTCTTGGACATGTGGTTCCCTCATGCCAGCCTAGCTTAGGTGAACTGAGTCTCCCTTCAGCAGTGACTTAGTCTCCTGTGGCTGGGAAGGGGGTGAGGACCTACAGCACCTGAGGGCTGGTGTTGTGTAATATTTGTTTAACAATACAAAGATGTGTTGTGTTTGTATAACTATGTAAACATGTGTTACTGTTTTACCTTGACTGCCCAAGGCAACAGACTTGTCTAAGAAAAAGCTGAATGTCTAATAGTGAGGGAGGATATATAGGTGGGACATCTAGGCAGGGAGAATAAGTAGGAGAAGGTATTTAGGCTCAAAAAAGAAAGAAAAAAAGAAGCCAGGGAGACATCTGGAGTCAGACAGACAGATGGGGAGGCAGCAGGAAAGTAGGACATACAGAATGAAAGAAAGGTTAAAAGTCCTGAGGCAAAACAGAGATAAATAGAAACAGTTTAAATTAAGCCAAAGGAGCTAGTTGGACAAGCCTAAGCTATGGCTTAATTAATAATAAGTCTCCATGTCTTTATTTGGGAACTACTTGGCAGCCTAAAGAAAATGCTAGCCATAGGCTGGGAAAAGAAAATCTGCTCTTTAAGTCAGACAGGAGACAGTGGTTGGTGTCCAGGATGCTGTAGAAGGACTGGCAGGTGGTGGGACCTTTGATTCCCAAAGTTCAGTGCCTTTACTTACTGTGGGTAGACGGGTCCAGTTGTCCTCACTGAGCATGCTCTTACTTCTTGCCCTAAAGAAATGGGAGACACTGTCACTGTTGTTTGGTTCCTCAGTTGGGAAGGACCCTGGGAGCTGATGTTTCCTGGGAGCTGCTTGGTGTCCTTGCTGTGCATTCACACCATGGCTGCCACTGCCTTTCTTGGTGCTGCCTCCTTTTCCAATCTAACCAGCCCCTCCTAGCCTTTGATCCTTTTACCCCATCATATTTGTTGTTTTCTAACTGGTGCTGGGGGTGGTACTTTGGATGAGAATTTACTTTTGGCTTCTTGTCCTTTTTAGGTTTCTCTTTTGAGGCTTCTTTTGAGGTTTCATTGAGGTTGGTTGGCTCATTGAGGTTGGTTGGCTCATTGTCCACTTGTTTAATGTTGTTCTCATTTTGTGGCTCCCTGGTGAAAGATGAAATCAATTTATCTCCAAACTTCACAAGAAAAGGAGTGACCATGACCAACAGAGAGTGGGGTACAGGACATAGGAAGGCAGTGATATGAGCAACACAGCAGACATATAGCAAAGAGAAGAAGATGGAGTCCAGACAGAAAGTGAAGGACCCTTTTCCCTTTCCCAAGCATGAAGGAAATGGAAGAGTAGGTGGAAGGGTGGAAGACATTTCACCTGCCACGACGTCTGCGCCACAGGATGAACAGTAAAAATATTACTGCAATCAGCCCCACCAGACATTGGGCAACAATGCCAATGATACCCCATAATGAAGGTCGATGTTCAACTGTCATGGACAGAAAAGAGAAGAAGCATCACCATAAATTCATCCTCACTGAGCAAGTGGACAAGAACTCTCTGATTGTGTCTGACTTCTGTTTGTTCCTTTGGGGAGTGTACTTCCTGTGAGAAGGTAGATTAGGAGAGTTGAAGCAATAACCAGGGTATTCTCTCCTAGTATTCCTGTAAGTACTATGTTTCTAGGCTGGCCATGTGTCTTCCTTCAAGTCCTTGCCTGTGGTGGGTGGGGAGAGAGTGTGCTTTAGGCTGCAGTCTAATTCATATCCATTCTGGCAGTCCTTGGAAGGATCTGAAGATGGGAGAAAGTCATATATATATAAATTTTTACATTAACATTACAGATGATTTTAATGATCACATCTTTTTCTCATTGTCCTAATTGATATAGATGTAAATATTCACCACTCTGGTTCCATACACAGAAAGAGTCCTGCCCCTTGTCCCCAATCAGTGTGGGAAGGCCCCACCCTCACCAAGTCCCCCTACTGGACCCTGCAATCTACACACCCTGCCCCCATACCCATCCTCCTGAGACCCCAGCCACATCTTGAGGCATGGAAAAGAAGCTGGCAGCCCTCACTGGACAAAGAGCTCTCATTGGAACAAGAGTAACCTACTGAGACAGGGAATCTGCCACCCTTCATTAAACCAAGAGTGGCTTTCTGAGACGTAGGATCTGCCACCTCTCATTGGACCAAGAGAAGCTTCCTGAAACACAGAATCTGTAATCTCTGACTAGACCAAGAGCCCTGATAAGACCAAGAGTGGCTCTGTGAGTCACAGAATTAACAAGCTTGGGTTCACCCAAGAGCAGCTCCCTGAGAAACAGAATCTGCCTGCTCCAATTAGACTAAGAACTAAGATTGGACCTAGAGGGGCCCCCTGAGACACAGACACAACAAGCACAGAGTAGAACAATAGTAACTCACTCAGACACAGCAACCTCTTATGTCTATTAGAGGAGGAGATGGGCAGATGTCAAGGAAAAAATACATTGAACAACATAAAGAGCAATATGGCATCACCAGAACCTATCGCTCCTTCAACAGCAAGACCTGAGCATCACAATGTAGAAGTAGCAGAAGAAAGCAACCTTAAGAACAGCATCATGAAGAAGCTAGAGGCCTTTCAAGAAAAAAATGAAAAATGAAGTTGAGGAAAAGACAAACAAAAATTTGGAAGAAATCAATAAAGAAATACAGGAAAAGACAAATAAAAAAGTGGAAGGAAGCAATAAATCCCTCAAAGGAAACCATGAAAAAGCAATTAAACATGTGAGGGAAACACTTCAAGACCTGAAAAGGGAAATAGAAACAATGAAGAAGACACAAATAGAGGGAATGCTGGAAATAGAAAATCTGGGTAAACAAACAGGAAACACAGATGCAAGCATAACCAACAGAATACAAGCACTGTAAGAGAGAATCTCTGGTGCAGAGGACACAATTGAGGAAGCGGATTCATCAGTCAAAGAAAATACAAAGCCAAAAAATTCATAACACAAAATGTTCAGGATCTGGGATACCATGAAAAGGCCAAATCTAGGAATAATAGGGATAGAAGAAGGAAAAGAATACCAACTCAAAGCCACAGAAAATATATATTCAACAAGATCATAGAAGAAAACTTTCCCAACTTAAAGAAGGAAATACCTATGAAGATAGAAGAAGCCTATAGAAGACCAAACAGACTAGAGCCCACCCCACCTCCCAATGTCCCCTGGCCACACAATAATTAAACAACTAAATCTACAGAATAAAGAAAAATATTAAGAGCAGTAAAAGAAAAAGGCTAAGTGACTTATAAAGGCAAACCCATCAGAATAACACCCAATTTCTCAATGGAGACTTTGAAAGCCACAAGGACCTGGACAGACATAATGCAGACACTAAGGGAAAAAGGATGCCAGCCTAGAATAATATGCCCAGCAAAACTTTCAATCACCATAGATGGAGTGAATAAGACATTCTAAAACAAAACCACATTAAAACAATACCAATCCACAAATCCAGCCTCACAAAAAGCACTGGAGGGAAAATTCCAACCTAAGGAAGTCAGATACACACACGAAAATACAGGCAATAGATAACCCCCAGCAGCAAAGCCCAAAGAAGAGAAATACACACTCACTAACTACCAAAATGTAACAGGAACTAACAATCACAGGTCATTAATATCCCTTAATATCAATGGATTTAATTCACCTATAAAAAGACACAGGCTAACAGAATGAATATAAAAACAGGACCCATCTTTCTGCTGCATACAAGAAACACATCTCAATTTCAAAGATAGACACTACCTCAGAATAAAAGGCTGGGAAAAGTCTTACCAATCAAAGGGTCTTAAGAAGCAAGGTGGTGTAGCTATCCTAATCCCACAAAATAGACTTGAAACTAAAATCAATCAAAAAAGATCAAGAAGGACATTATATGCTCACCACAGGAAAGATACACCATGAGGAAGTTTCAATTCTGAACACTTAAGCCCCAAATACAAGGGTACCCACTTATGTAAAAGAAACATTACTAAAGCTTAAATCACACATAAAACCCCACAAATTAATAGGGGGAGACTTCAGCACCCCACTCTCACTACTGGACAGATCTGCCAAATCAAAACTTAACAGAGAAATAAAGGGCTTAACTGATGTTATGCATCAAATGGACTTAATCGATACCTACAGAACATTCCATCCTAACAAAAAAGAATATACCTTCTTCTCAGCACCCCATGGAACCGTCTCTAAAATTGACCACATACTTAGTCACAAAGCAAACCTCAACAGATACAAAATAATTGGAATAACCTCCTGTATTCTATCAGACCACCATGGTTTAAAGTTAGATTTTGGGGCTGGAGAGATGGCTCAGAGGTTAAGAGCACTGACTGATCTTCCAGAGGTCCTGAGTTCAATTCCCAGCAACCACATGGTGGCTCACAACCATCTGTAATGAGATCAGGTGCCCTCTTCTGGCCTGCAGTCATACATGCTGTATACAAAATAAATATAAATAAATAAATAAATAAATAAATAAATAAATAAATAAATAAATAAAAAGTTAGATTTTTAACAACAACAAAAATTACAGAAAGCCTACAATCTCATGGAAACTGAATAATGCTCATCTGAATCACCAATGGGTCAAGGAAGAAATAAAGAAATTAAAGACTTCCTAGAGATCACTGAAAATGAATATACTACTTACCCAAACTTATGGGACACTATGAAAGCAGTGCTAAGAAGAAAATTCAAGGTTGGGAAACTAAGAGTTGGTTCTTTGAGAAAATCAACAAGATAAACAAGCTCTTATCCAGACTGCCAAGAGGCAGAGAGAGAGAGAGAGCATCCAAATTCGAAAATTTACTAAGGAAAAGGGAGACATAAAAACTGACAATGTGGAAATCCAGAGAATCATCAGGTCATACTTCAAAAACCTGTACTCCAAAAAAATTGGAAAATCTAAAAGAAATGTACAATTTTCTGGAAAGGTACCATATACCTAAATTAAATCAAGAGCAGATGAACCATTTAAATAAACCAATAACACCTAACGAAATAGAAACTGTCATTAAAAGTCTCACAACTAAAAAAAGCCCAGGGCCAGATGCAGAATTCAACCAGATCTTCAAAGAAGAGTTAATACCAATACTCTTTAAATTGTTCCACACAATAGAAATGTTACCAAACTCCTTGTATGAGGCTACAGTTACTCTGATCCCCAAGCCAAAAAAAGATGCAATAAAGAAAGCAAATTACAGACCAATCTCCATCAAGAACATTGAAACAAAACACTCAATAAAATACTGGCAAACAGACTCCAAGAACACATCAAAACAATTGTCTACTTTGATCAAGTAGGATTCTTCCCAGAGATGCAAGGATGGTTCAACACACAAAAGTCTGTCAATATATTAAATCCATATAAACGAACTGAAAGAAAAAAAACCACATGATCATGTCATTAGATGCTGAAAAGGCCTTTGACAAAATCAAACACCCCTTCATAATAAAGGTCTTGGAGAGATCAGGAATACAGGAAACATACCTAAACATAATAAAGGCAATTAACAGCAAGCCAACAGCCAACATCAAAGTAAAGGAAGAGAAACTCAAAGCCATTCCACCAAAATTAGGAACAAAACAAGTCGGTCAGCTCTCCCCATATTTATTCAATATAGTACTTGAAGTTCTAGCTAAAGCAATAAAACAACAAAAGGAGATCAAGGGGATAAAAATTGGAAAGGAAGAAGTCAAACTTTCACTATTAGCAGATGACATGATATTATACATAAGTGACCCCCAAAATTTGACCAAGGAACTCTTATAGCTGATAAACTCCATCAGTAATGTGGCAGGATACAAGATTAACTGAAGACAGCCTTCCTATATACAAATAACAAATGGGCTAAGAAAGAAATCAGAAACATCACACTTTACAAAAGCTACAAATAATATAAAATATAAATAATATAAAATAATATAAATATATATTATTTTATATATTTATAAATATTTATATATTATATAAATTTATATAATAATATAAAATAACTAAGCAAGCAAAGGACCTGTATGACAAAAACTTTAAGTCCCTGAAGAAAGAAGTTGAAGACGATATCAGAAAATGGAAAGACTTACATGCTCATTGATAGGCAGGACTAACAGTAAAAATGGCAATCTTACCAAAAGCAATCTGCAGATTCAATGCAATCCTCATCATATCCCAACACAATTCTTCACAGACCTTTATAGAACAATACTCAACCTCATATGGAAAAACTAAAATCACAGGATAGCCAAAAGAATCCTGCACAAAAAAACAACCTCTGGAGGCATCATGATCCCTAACTTCAAGCTCTACTATAGACCTACAGTAATAAAAACAGCTTGGTACTGGCATAAAAACCGACACATGGACCAATGGAACCAAACTGAAAACCCTGACATTAATCCAGACACATATGAAAAGAAGCCAAAACTGTACAATGGAAAAAAGAAAGCATCTTCAAGAAATGGTGCTGGCATAACTGGATGTCAACATGTAGAAGACTGCAAATAGATCCATATCTGTCGCTGTGCACAAAACTTAAGTCCAAGTGGATCAAAGACCTCAGCATAAATCCAGTTACTCTAAACCTGATAGAATAGAAAGTAGCAAGTAAGAGAATTGTAGCTGGAGTTTTTTCCAGTTCTGTCTGGCCATGGTTAGGACAAATCTCTCTCACCCGCCAGTCCCACAGCCGCTCAGACCAAACTGAGTAAACACACAGAGACATATTGCTTATAAACCGTATGGCCCAGGCAGGCTTCTTGTTATCTAGTTCTTATATCTTAAATTAACCCATATCCATTAGTCTGTAAGTTGCCATGTGGCTGGCAGCTTATTGGTATCTTTACATGACACCTTCCATGGCAGCAGCTGGCAGTGTCTCTCTACTCAGCCTTCCTGTTCCTAGCATTCTCTTCTCTCCTTGTCCCACCTATACTTCCTGCCTGGCTACTGTCCAATCAGTATTTTATTTATTGACCAATCAGAGCAACACATTTAACATATAGAACATCCCACAGCAGAGAAGAGAAAGTCTTGAACACATTGGCACCAGAAATCACTTCCTAAATATAATACCAGTAGTACAGACACTGAGAGCAACAATTAATAAATGGGACCTCCTGAATCTGAGAAGCTTCTCTAAGGCAAAGGACACAGTAACTAAGACAAAAATGACAGCCTACAGAATGAGAAAAGGTCTTCACCAACCCCACATCTGACAGAGGGCTTATATACAGAAGATATAAAGAACTCAAGAAATTAGACATCAAAATACACATCAGTTGAATTAGAATGGGCTATAGAGCTAAACAGAGAATTCTCAAGAGAAGAAGCACAAATGGCTGAAAGATATCCTTAGTCATCAGGGAAATGCAAATCAAAATGACTCTGAGATGCCATCTTACACCTACCTGTCAGAAGGACTAAGATAAAAAACACTGAAGACAGCTTATGTTAGAGAAGATGTAGAGCAAGGGGAATGCTCCTTCACTGTTGGTGGGAGTACAAATTTGTACAGCCGCTTTGGAAATCAGTATGGTGGTTTCTCAGAAAATTGGGAATTGATCTCCCGTAAGACTCCCTATACCACTCTTGAGAATATAACCAAGGAATGCTCAATCATGCCACAAGGACACATGCTCAACTATGTTCATAGCAGCCTTATTTGGAATAGTTAGAACCTGTAAACAAACTAGATGCCCCTCAACTGAAGAATGGATAAAGAAAATGTGGTACATATACACAATGAAGTACTACTCAGCAGAGAAAAACAATGACAGCATGAAATTTGCAGGCAAATGGATGGAACTAGAAAAAATCATCCTGAGTGAGGTAACCCAGACTCAGAAAGACAAACATGGTAAGTACTCACTTATAAGTGGATACTAGATGAAAAACAAAACATAAGCAGACTGCAACTCACAGATCCAGGGAGACTACCTAATAAAGAGGACCCTATGAAAGACACAGGATTGCCCAGTGATGGAGAAATGGATGACATCTACATGATCAAGCTGGGGTTAGAGGGGGTAATGGAGGGCAAGAGTCGGGGCAAAGAGAGCTTAGGGGAGCAGGAAGTCCTAACTGGATCAGGAACAGAGTGGGAGAACAAGGAAAAAGATACTATGATAAATGAGGACACCATGAGCATAAGAAGATGCAGAGTTCTAGAGAGGTCCCCAGAAACCCACATAGATGACTCAACTATAGACTACTGGCAGTGGTGGAGAGGGTGCCTGAGCTGACCTACACTGGTGATGGGATGGCTGAACACCCTAACTGTCATGATAGAACCCTCATCCAGGGATAATGGAAGCAGATGCAGAGATCCACAGCCAAGCCCCAGGTGGAGCTCCAGGAGTCCAATTGATGAGAGAGAGGAGGGATCATATGAGCAAGAGATATTGAGACCATGATTGGAAAAAGTACAGAGACGACTAGCTAAACTAGTGGAAACACATGAACTGTGTCCAATAGCCTAGAAACCCCCATGGAACTGAATTAGATCCTATGGATAAGTGAGACAGTTGTTTACCTTGAACTGTTTAGGAGGACCCCAGGCAGTGGGACTGGGACCTGTCCTTAGTGCATGAGCTGGCTTTTTGAAACCTAGTGTCTATGCTGAGACACTTAGCTCAGCCATGGGGATTGGACCTGCCACAAAAGTAGGTACCAGGCTCTGCTGACTCCCCAGGGAAGACCTTGTCTTGGATGTGTTGGGAATGAGGGGTGTGTTGGGGGAGAAGGCTGGGATGTAGGAGAAGGGAGGACAGGGTTATCTGTGATTGATGTGTAAAACGAATAGAACATATCTTAATAAAAAAGAAAATATATATAAAAAATTCATTTCTGCTGGCTCTTTTTGAATTTATTGGTGTGAAACAGAGTTGTCCTATTGAGTTACAAAATTTGGAAGGCATTCTTGCTATCCATCTGACCCTCCGCAACCAGATGAGTTTTGATCAGGCTGCTAAGATTGTTCAATGATGAACGAATAATCAGTTAAACAAGGGATGTTGGGAAAATAGGATATCCAGGTAAAAGAATGAAGTTAAGCCTTCACTAACAACATATACAAATCAGCTCTACATGGATCAAAGATCAGAGCTGAAAGTCATCAGACTTTTAGGAGACAGGATGAAAGAATCTTGAAACTGGATTTCAAATGGTGTCTTTGTTATGATGCCTGATGCATCATATGGACCTTTTGGCTGCTTATATGTCTCTACAGAAGATGCATGAATGGTACCTGAGGACATAAGAGGGTGTTGAATTCCTTGGAACTTAGTTACAGACAGTAATAAGTTGCCATGTGGTTGCTGGTAATTGAACCCATGTTCTTTGGAAGAGCTGCCATGGCTCTTAACTATTGAACTATCACTCCAGTCCTATAAACCATATATATACACACACATACTACTACACACCAAAAAAAAAAACACCAGTTCCTCGAAAAAAGCATCTTGTGCAGGGATGTCATGCTTCAAATGTCAGCATGAAGATAAAATCAGTATATGGGGCACCAAGATGGCTCAGTTGGGAAGAGTGCCTGCTGTACTCCCTCCCAGTACCTACCCCTAATTGCCACACAGAAATAAATGCACAAACAAATGTGGGCCAGGGAACTGGCTTAGCAGATAAAGGGCTGGTTCACCAACCTGAGTTCAATCCCCTGTCCTTGGATTGAACTGGCTCCCACAAATTGTCGCTTGACCTCCACTAATGGGTTGGGACATGCACTCAAAATGAATAAATATGCAAATATAGTAAGAAACTCGTTACAGGTCCTTTCTGTCTATGCATTTTATATTTATAGATTGAAACATAGGAAACAAACTACTTGAAAAAGTATCTCCACAGTGAAAAGTATATTGTTTCCTCCCATCTGTGTCTGTACTCAACACAATAAGACTAGTGTCTATGCAATATTCAGATTAGGCATTGGAAATAATCTAAAGAAGATCTGAATGTGTCGAAAGAAGTGTAGAGTAACATGAATATTTTACTAGTTTCTGGGGGTTGACTGTATGACAGACTCAGACCCTAAACTCTTAATCACTTTGCAATTCCATTTGCTATATTGACATCTACTGTTGTTAATATTGAGCAGGTCTCACAACTTAATCAGAGTTCAGCCTTGTAATTCTATGCCTCCTGCTTCATGCTCTCTCTCTTTTGAGACAGGGTCTCACTATGGATTTCTGACTAACCTGAAACTGGCTACAAAACCAGGGTGATTGGGAACTCATAGAGATCCAACTGTCTCTGCCTCTGCTGTGCTGGGGTTAAAGGCATGCAGCACTGTGCTCACCTTGCTTGGTGTTGTATCATGAGATTAACATGCATCCTTCACCAAGCTGGCTGTATTTGTTTCCTGAACAATATTTTTCTTCTTGTGACTTTGACCCATTCTGCACTCAGTTGAGAAAGAAACTGGCCATAACCCCAAACACTATGGAATAAGAGGGGAACAGAGGTCACTAACCTATTACGTCCAGCTGGATGGGGTTACTCCTCGTGGAACTGACTTGATTGGATACTTCACACTGATAGTCCCCAGAATCCTCAATCCTCACAGAGTCTATTTGGAGGGTGCTGTTATTGTGGGACAGCTTTATCCTGTCTGAGAGCTCCACACTCTGGCCTTGGAAGAGCCAATGGACAGAGATCCCAGTGTTGTTTGACAAGCACTTCAGGAACACAGAGATCATATCTTTGACTGTGGTGTTGGTGACTTGGATGGAGGGTGGAGTCACTGGATCTGTGGATAAATAGTGGAGGGACCAGGTGAGAGTCCATAGAATGAAGGGGCACTCTGCAAGATTGCATGTTTGGGTTCAAGATAAGGTCTGTAGGGAGAGAGCTGAAACTTACTCCTACCAAGATCACTCACAGTGACCCTGACTCAGGGTATTTGTGTAGATTCCACACTGGGAGCCTCTTCAGCCCAAAAGTCCAGAAATCTCATGGTTGGGAGGAATGTATTTCCCAAAGATTTTTGTGGGGATTCTTCCTCACACTTTCTGTGAACAGTCAGGTCCGTCTTTTATGAAATAGCCTACTGTTTATATTTAATTAAATAATTTGTCATGGGGTTAAGATTGCCCAGCTAATCTTAAAGGTGTTAAAGTCTATACCTCAGGACTGGGAGAAATCCCTAACTGAAGGATTTCTGTTTGTAGAAAAAAAAATGTATTTCTTGTGACATGGATATGGGTTAAATACTACAGAGAAGAAGTGAATAATCACAGTGCTGACAGCCTACAAGTCTAATCCTCAGTATTGATATTGTTTGAGACAGGGTCTCACTGTACAGTTCTAGCTTGCTTGGAATTTCCTATGTAGACCAGGCTCTCCTCAAACTCATACTATGTACATGCCTCTCCCTCCTCAGTGCTAGCATTAAAGATGTGTGAAACCATACTCAGCTATTTGGTTTCTGGTTTGTTGTTGTTGTTTTGGTTTTTCGTGACAGGGTTTCTCTGTGTAGCTTTGTACCTTTCTTGGATCTTGCTCTGTAGACCAGGCTGGCCTTAAACTCACAGAGATCTGCCTGCCTCTGCCTCCTGAGTGCTGGGATTAAAGGTGTGTGCCACCACTGCCTGGCTGCTATTTGTTTTTTGAAGCTTGAGAAGAGTAAACAAAAGAGCATCATCAACTGTCAGTTTCTTATTTCACCCTGACTCAGGACAGGGCTCCCAGGCACCTTCTCCACCCACTCTTCCCATCACATGGAGTCAGAACTGAGGCAGGAGCAGACCTGGGAGCAGAGGTCTAGTGCCCATCTGTGGAGAATATTCTCCTCCAATTTGGAGAATAAGAATGGGAGCATAGTTGAAAGCACAGTCTAGTCCATTCAGTTGAGTGGCCTTGTACTTCTATGCCTTTGGCTTCGTATTCTCTCTTTTGAGACTATGTAGCTCTGGCTAACCTGAAACTGGCTACAAAGACCAGGGTGGTTAGGCATTCATGGAGATCCAACTGTCTCTGCCTCTGTTGTGCTGGGGTTAAAGGCATGCAGCACTGTGCTCACCTTGCTTGGTGTGTTATCATGAGATTAACATGCATCCATCACCAAGCTGGCTGTATTTGTATCTTGAGCCATGCTTTTCTCCTTGTGATTTGACCCATTCTGCACTCTGTTGATGAACTGCCCCCACCCTAAAGCTATGGAGTAACAAGGGAGGAGAGGTCACTCACCAATTATGTCCACCTGGATGGGGTCACTCCTCTGGGAACTGACTTGATTGGATACTTCACACTGATAGTCCCCGGAATGCCAACTCCTGGCAGGGACTATTTCAAGGGTGCTGTTGTTCAGGGACAGCCTCATGCTATTCGTGATCCTCAGACTGTGGCCTTTGAAGAGCCAATGGATTGAGATCCCAGTGTCGTTTGACAAGCACTTCAGTATCACAGAGGTCAGGTCTTTGACTGTGGTGTTGGTGAATTGGATGGAGGGTTTAGTCACTGGTTCTGTGAATAAACAGTGGAGGGGAGCAGTTGAGAGTCCTTCACCTTCAGAGATCTCAGCCACCTCCCAGGGCACATACAATGAAGGAACCCTCTGCAAGATCACATGTTCAAGATATAGTCTGTGAAGAAAGAGCTGAATCTTACTCCTATGAAGATGACCCATAGTGACCCTGACTCAGGGTATTTGTGTAGATTGCACACTGGGAGCCTCTTCAGGCCACATGTCCAGAAAATTCGTTGGGGGGACGGGAGGAATGTATTTCCCACTGATATTTGTGTAAATTCTTGCTCACATTTTCTGTGAGTGTGAACAGTCAGATTCTGCCTTTATGAAATAACCATTTAATTTTTATTAAAAAATTAGTCATAGTGTTAAGATGGCCTAGCTAAACTTAAAGGTGTTAAAGGCTAGACCTCAGGACTGGGAGAAATCCTTAACTGAAGAATTTCTGTTTGTAGAAAAATTGTATTTGCTGCCCCATGGATATGGATTAAATACTACAGAGTAGAAGTGAATAATCAAAGTGCTGACCACAGCCTACCACTCTAATGTACAGTACTGATTTTTTTGGGGACTGGATCTCACTGTACAGTTCTGGCTAGCTTGGAATTTGCTATGTAGACCAGGCTGCCTCAAAGTCACACTATCTACATGCCTCTTCCTCCTCAGTGTTGGCATCAAAGGTGTGCACAACCATGCTCAGCTGATTTTGTTTTTTGAACTTTGAGAAGAGTAAGAAAAAGATCATCAACTGTTGGTGACATAGTTCTCCCTGACTCAGACCAGGGCTCCAGGGCACCTTCTCAACCCACTCTTTCCATCCCATAGAGTCAGAACTGAGCCTGGACCCCACCCATGAGACAGGGGCAGACCTGGGAGCAGAGATCTAGTCCCCATCTGTGTGGAATATTTTTCCCCAATTTGGAGAATAAGAATGTGAGCACAGTTAAAAGCCCTGGGTGTTCCTTGTAGGTCATGGAGGTCATAAAATGAAAATGGAGGGGACAGAGAAGCTTGTGTTAGGCACAGAAAGAAATCCTGACCTTGAGGCTCTCCTAACCATGGAAAGTCCTTCACATAACTGAAGACTTTTCAATACTGGAAAAAAATCCTCCTCACATTGCAAGCTCCATCCCTATCACACAGAAACCAGAGAACCCGGAGGCCAATAGACATAAGGATGGAGCAGGAGGCTTGGGGAAAGACAGAGTTTTGGTTGTTCCCATAGTCCTGGGATGGAAATCAAATGCTTCTGCACCTTCCCTGAAAGCCAAAAGACTCAATCCTAACCTGGTGCTGATATTTCAGAGATCCACTTACTAAGAACTGTAATGTTCTTGATTGTGGTCTTACTGAGGACAATAACAGTTATAGATGAGGCAGGTATAAGATCCACTCTTATTAGTATTGATGTTGGGATTATAGAGCTCTTGGGAGGATGACTAGAGCTCTCCACTGACAAACCAAGAGTACTGTGCACGTGGGTTAGCAACTGTATGGCAGGAGATGTGAGGTTTGTCCTTCAATGGAAATGAATATTTGAGGGGAATATGATCTGGACATAAGGACCATCTGGAGAAAATAGAATAAAATCACACATGATGTCAGCACAGGGAAGGGGAAATTCTAGTCTATAGAAGGACATAGTATCTCTTTGAGCTGTGCTTTAACCTCAGTTGAGCAGATCCTACCCAGAGCTGGTGTGCAGATTAGCAGAAGAGTATTCATTCAGCATGACAAGCCCTGATCTCTCTCAGAAGAGGACAGGCTGAAAGTGTCTGAGGACAAAGCACAACACACAAACATCCCCACTGCACACTCATGTGTGCACTGAGACTGAGTCTGACATGTCCCCTGTCTCCATCACCCTGAGCCTCTATAGGCAGGAGAAGTCCCTGGAGCCCATTCAAGCTCAATGCTGGGCCTGTCTACATGTGCTTGGGCTGGACCAGGATGCCCTGGTAGCCTAGGTAAATGTATGGTAGTCAGTGTCATAAACCCAAGGGGACTGGCACTGAGTGTGGAACATCTAGCCCTCTATATTTAGACATTTGGGGCCAGGATGAAACAGAAAATACTTACAGGTCATGTTCAGAGAGAATGGATCACTTGGAGAGTCCCTCACTGGGTTCCAGGTTCACATTCATAGGGTCCTGTGTCAGTCCTCACAACACTGAGTAAACTGAGAGTCCTGTTGTCCTCAGACAGTTTCAGCCTGTCCTCTTCTGAGAGGCTTTGGTAATTTATCCTCCACAGGTATGTTAAATTCTGAGTCTTGTGGTCACACACTAATGCTACTGAGTCCTCGTCCTCCATGGAATTGGAATTGTTGGTTGTGACGTTGGGCTTGAGTAGCAGTGATGTGTTGACCAAGAGAGATGTTTGCCCTGTGTGGTACTTCTGATTCTGGCAAAGGCTTCTTACAACTAGAGATAGTCTCTTAACTCCCAGCTGACCCAAATCCTTAAATAATCAGGCAGGAAGCAAATTAAAGGCAGATGTAGCCCTGGGCACCAGCCACTCCCGGAAGACCTGCCCAACTTGGCCCCAGGTTCTGGCCACCGGGCAGGTCCCCTTCTAGCCCCACCGGCAGGGATCCCCTTTTCCAAGCCCCCGGCAGCCCCTGCAATCTCTGGGCCCTGCCCCCACGCCCATCTGCCCAAGACCCCAGCCACCTCCTGAGACTTAGAGACCGGCCCCCAGCTCCCATCCTGCTCCGACTTCCCTTCTGGACCAGAGACTTCCGGTCCAGATAAGAGCTTCCATCCTGCCCACAAGGGAACTCCCTTTTGGACAAGAGAGAGAGACTTCCTGAATCTGTCA